GTAAATAAATAAGCCATTCATCACATACATGCAAGACGAGGAACGATTACAAGTGTGAAATGCAAAACATCCTAAAAAGAAAAATGCAACTTAAAACATTCAAATATGATAAATAATAGGGCTACAAAGAGAAAATACAACTAAACCAAGTGTTTGGACTCTCTAGCGTCCCCAGTGGAGTCGCCAAGTTGTCGCGCCCCATTTTTCACTATGGCGAAATAGAATAAAGGTGGTTTATAAAAGATGTGATTTTATTTTAAAACAAGTAAAATAGGACCTAGAATGGAACTTTGAAAAATGTGACAATTTGGATCCAAAATTTAGTCTAAAAGGATTTTTAAGAAAAAAGAGGAGTCGCCACTTGGTATTGAGTTTGGGTGTACCAAGTCACCCCAAAACTACTTTTTGATAAGAATAAAATAAAATAAAAACCCTTTTGACAACTCCAGGTTTTCGAAAAAACAAGAGAAAATGGGTTCGGGAGTCACAATTGAAGAAAGGGAAGGCAAAGGTTCGATTAAATCAAACCTAAGGCACCCTTTCAACTTAGTCTAAACTAGTTGCGAGATTTAGTCAAAATTTTCCTAATTTAATCCTGAATTTTATCACGTTTGGATGTTTTCTACATGGATGCAAATCTAAATTTATAAAAATATCGAAATGGACAAAATGTTCATTCAAGGGTTTAATTGAACCAATTCCATTAATTGCGAAGGCCAAAATAATTTCTTAAAGGTGTCACGAGTATGCAAATGATGAAATTAAAAATAAAGAAAAAAAATTAAATTATATACATATATATATAAGTGATCAAAGAAAAAGGGAATGCAACATAAAGGGTACGGGAGGCAAAAACTCGTGACATAATTTTTTTATACATGGATTTAGTCAAAATTTTCCTAATTTAATCCTGAATTTTATCACGTTTGGATGTTTTCTACATGGATGCAAATCTAAATTTATAAAAATATCGAAATGGACAAAATGTTCATTCAAGGGTTTAATTGAACCAATTCCATTAATTGCGAAGGCCAAAATAATTTCTTAAAGGTGTCACGAGTATGCAAATGATGAAATTAAAAATAAAGAAAAAAAATTAAATTATATACATATATATATAAGTGATCAAAGAAAAAGGGAATGCAACATAAAGGGTACGGGAGGCAAAAACTCGTGACATAATTTTTTTATACATGGATTTAGTCAAAATTTTCCTAATTTAATCCTGAATTTTATCACGTTTGGATGTTTTCTACATGGATGCAAATCTAAATTTATAAAAATATCGAAATGGACAAAATGTTCATTCAAGGGTTTAATTGAACCAATTCCATTAATTGCGAAGGCCAAAATAATTTCTTAAAGGTGTCACGAGTATGCAAATGATGAAATTAAAAATAAACAAAAAAAATTAAATTATATACATATATATATAAGTGATCAAAGAAAAAGGGAATGCAACATAAAGGGTACGAGAGGCAAAAACTCGTGACATAATTTTTTTATACATGGATTAATAGGGTATTTAAACTAAAAAGTTATAATCACCCATTTCCCATGTTTAAAAAATAATTATCCTAACATGAACAAGCAAATGAACTAGCTTAAATGAGATGCAATTCTAAATGACATGATTAGTACCTATAGAGGGTAAAGGATAATATTATATAATAGGAAATATCATGCAAATGAGAAAAGATCCTAAAAATGAAAATATGCATGAAAATGTAATGAATATCACACAAAGATAAATCTAACGCAAAACGGCCTAAAGGGTTTCTAGCGTTGGACTAGCTCATTTCTAAAAATCCTTACTAGCGTTGGACTAGCAAATAAGCGGAGGGAGAAGCCACAACTAGCGTTGGACTAGTGTGGTGACGTCATGCATTAACAATTCATAGTGAAACAAATAAAGCATAAATGAAAACAAATAAACACATAAGAGCACGTAGCACACAACACGTAAACATAATATCTAGATGTTAAAATCCTAAGAAAAACGGATAAAACACATAACACATAAGCCACATAAACACGCAACCTATCTATTACATTGGGGAATCTAATTACAATCTAAAATGTGAAAGATATCATAAAATAAAATTAGTTATCCTATCTATTACATTTTTGAGGTACTTAAATGCCTCTCGAATAATTATAAAAATTAACTAAACAAATATAATATAAGAAAATTTAAATGAACATTTAAATCCAATAAATAAATCATATAAAAATATATAAACACATAGGAACACATAGGAGTACATAAGAGCACGTAATTGACATTGAAATAATAAAAATAGGAGTACCTCCCATTTGAAGTGGTGGCTAAATGGAGTCAAATTGTCCTATTTATACTCACAATGAACAAAAGAATCATGGCACCAATTTAATTGAAAAAAAGTAATAATAATAATGAAAATTCACCTTAATATGTCAAACGTAAATAAATTTAAGAATATCTAAAACTTACAAGTTAAACATACTTAAAAGTACCATAATTAGCTATTAAAGAAGAGAAGCAATCATAATAAAGAGAGTCAAAATTCACCAGGGACTGAATTGTAAAAATTGAAAAACTTTTGGGGACAAAAATTATATTTTTTCAAAGTTCAGAGATCAAAATTAATTGAAAGATAAAGTTCAAGGACCAAAGTGCAATTAATTTAAGAGCCTAGGTGAAAGGAATTTAAAATGTTCTGGGCCACAATAAAAACTACTCCAAAGATCAGTGGTCAAAGTGCAAATCGTAACCAGATCTTCTTAAGAAAACAGACCACTGGGTCATTCTCTATTTTTTCCGGGCCGAAGGCCATTCGGCCCAAACGAAAGTTCAAGCTAAAATACCCAGACCAGCCCGTTTTGTTATAGCTCAAGCCCGACCAAAAAAATACATGGGCTCCAACCTCCTAGCCCACCCGAAACCCAAAAGAAATAAACACAGATCCATTCCAAAAAACCCAACAAAAAAAAAACTCTTGGCCCATCAGAGAAATAAACATTAGCCCAATTCTTTTTTTCTTTTTCCTCCCTTTTTCTTTCTTCTTCTTTCTTCTTCCTCACCGTCCATTTCTTCTTCTTCTTGCCTGGCCAGCTGAAGAAGTGGCCATGGCGGCCGCCGGTGGCGCCATTGCCGGTCGTCGGTGACTTCTCCGGTCGTCAAAATTTTTCAAAATGCACCTCTCCACTCCATTTTTCGCGTAGGTTTCATTTCCTGAGTTAATTTTTACAAAAGATGACCCGAAGGTGGGCGAAAAGCAAAAAGCCAGTCCAGTTTTTTTTTTATTTTTTAAAACACTATAATCTTCACCAAAAATCATAAAAATTATGCCAAAACCCTCCTTATAATTTCTACATTACAACTGTAATCTAAGTTGGACAAGAAAACAACATAAAAAGGCTAAATTAAGGCATAACAGTCCCTAAAATTCTTTTTGGCATTTTTTCAAACAATTAACATGCATTCACAGAAATCATCTTTTTCTTAATGTTTATTCATGGCTTTACCCCAAAATTTCAACAACACCAGCAGCAACAACAAGAAAACAGTAGGAACAACCAATAATACATGAATTCAACATGATAAAGAAAAAACGGGAAATAGTTCAATGGAAGTGTTGATACCTCTTATGACCTTAGTTAAAATTGTTGATGAAATTCCAATCTCCTCACGTCCGATTGCTTGCCTTCTTGTGTTTGATTCTGTGTGTGTATATTGGGAAAAGAGAGGGAGTCGAATGGAGCCTTTCTTTTGTGTTTTCTGAATTGAGAGGAAAGAAGGAGAGGGAGCCGAGAGATGTATTTTTCTCTTTTTTGAGCCAAAAAGTGGAGTGTTTCTTTTCTCCTTGTTCTCCCGTCTGTGAGAGAACCGAGAGATGTGTTGGGAGAAAAAGTGGAGAGTTAATTGAGGGGAAAAGGTGGGGAGTTGGTATTTTTCTTGTCCAAGGGATGGTCTCCCTGTGTCAGAGACGAAAGAGTACATATTTTTGAGCCCCAAAGCGCCGTTTTTTTTTCTTGTCAGTCCCACCCTCGAGAGAGTGAATTGAGGGAGTGTGTTTTGTATGTTACTTTTCTTTTCTTCTTTTCTTTTTTTTCTTTTTTTTATTTTCTAAACAAACCTGCAAAAAATAAGAAAATTGCACATTAAAATGTAAGAAAATAAATAAATTATTAAATAGAAAATTCTTGAGAAAATATTAAAAATTGACAAAAATTTGGTGTCTACACCTAGTTCATACTACACAACTGTTGAAAGTCAAACTGAGAATTGAACAAGGGTAAACGAATATATCCTGAAACTGAAGAAGAGGATGGTGTTGAGGTTGAAAATGAGGCAGAATCTGAGTCAAGTGATGATGGTGAAGGATTTCATGATAGTGAACATTTGAATTTATAAATTACTAATTATTCTAGAGTTTAAAATATATTTAAATAATTGATAATTACAATTCCAAATGCTTCTTAAACAATCCAAACAACTAAAATGCTTTGGATGAATTTCAAATCTTTTTATCAAATTCCTTATTATTAAAAGAGTATTTCTTTCTCGTACCTACAATAAAAACTCACTTGACACTAGCTCCTCCCGATTGGAAAAATTAATTGATGTTATACAAAAGTTTAATTTTGAGGGAATATATCTTAATATATTTCTAAAACTATGAGTAGGATATACCTGTGAGTTTCGGTCATCTCTTTTGATAAGGGTTTCTAGATCAATGAGACTTATAGTTTTGCCTTAAAACAAAGAGAAAAATTTCCTTTTCCGAACTTTTTTTTTAACATAAGTATTTTATTTATTTTAAGAAAATTTTGACAGATTTTCCCTTATAAATAGACGAATCTCCGTGCCAACAAACCCAAATTCAAGAAAAATATCACATGCTATCAAGCAACTGGTACAAGTGCACCATCTCCTGTCCATGCGAATTTCCCCTCGCATCTGTCTTGGAATTGCCCTTCCCTGATTGTTCTACTACAATAAATGGAGCCTAGGCCAGTTACGCAGACGATTTTTTAAGAAATCGGAGAGAAGGAAGACCTAATTTATCCAATCTGACTATTCCTCTTGCTAGCTGTGGCAGGCAACTTGGTTGATCATAAACCCTAATCAGGTCAAATGGGTTCAAAAGACCTTCATTAGCGAGTATGTCTGCCACCGTGTTTGCTTCTCTAAAGCTGTGAGAGAATTGCCCTGGACCCTCAGCCAGCTGCCATATTTGGAATACCTCTTTACGAATTTGCCACAGACACTGAAATCTGAGTTGCAATATGCCTATTAACACCAACGAGTCGGACTGTACTCAAACCTGTGTAAAGGCTTTCTGATCGCAAAGTCGGAGACCCGCTAACAAAGCCAATACCTCAGCAAGCAAACTGGTATCGACCCCCAGAAAAACTGAATATCCTACCAAAGCTCGACCATCTGAGGCCCGGAATACACCACCCCCGCCACTCGTTCCTGGGTTACACTTAGAACACCTGTCTGTATTAAGTGTCACCATCCCTGTACCTGCTGCCCGCCATCGGACAAGCCTGCACTGAAGCAAGGATGAGGGTTGGGAAAGACTTTCAAAAAATTGACCAAAAGTCCGTGGGAAACTATCCTTGTTAAACTTGTCCGCAACTGCCATAGCGACATCCTAGAAAATGCCATGACAAATATCTCCAGACGACAATCTGATCCCTTCCCAAAGCGCTATATTTCTTACCTTCCATATGTGCCAACAGATGAAACTCGGGAGAATAGAGACCACAAGCCATTTTTGGACCTCCGACTGCTTGGACAACCACCAAGCCATTGCTCTGTCACGCAACTGACCTCTAGGCAAACCTATTCCACAAACAGCCCCAAAGAAACCCCAAATCTCTTTCGCAAGTTGTCCCGATGCAAAAATATGCTCAATAGATTCCCCCATTGCCATATGGCAGCAGAAGCATTTTGACGGCAATTGGACCCCAAACTTATTCAAGATATCATCGAGCGGGAGTCCCTGCAGTAGTAAACGGAGCATAAAGAAAAATACTTTTAATGGGATCTGGGGATGCCAAGTGTGAGAGAAGAGCCATGAGGCATTCCGAGATTGCCTGACCTCCTAGAAGGCGGAAGATAACGAGAACTACCCGAATGTCGACGGCATCCACACCATCTCGTCCGTCCGCTCAGCCTCTGGGGGTGGCTGCTGCAATATCAGAGCCGTGATGTCCTTTAGGAAGTAGTAGGCAAGGAGCATTGAATTCCACCTTCCATGTACAAGGAAATCCTTGAATGTCAAGGTCCCGTGAACTTGAACTTTGTGGAAAAGAGCCTCATTACCCAACCAGTTGTCATACCAAAAATCACAAGTTCCCGCATTCACCAACCACCTCATGGAAAGTTCCGCTTGATGGCTCATATTAACCAGTCGTTTCTAGGTAGCCGATGCCCCCACATTGTACTCCACTTGACATGGGTGACAGGAACGACAATATTTTGCTAGCAGAAATTTGGCCCAGAAAGAAGTCCCCGTGTGGAACTTCCACCATAATTTCAAGGAGAAGGCCGTATACACGTCCCGGAGGAGGCAAAAACCTACTCCTCTCTCCTCCGTCGGGAAGCATAACTGATCCCATCAAATCCAATGATATTCCTTCTGCGAACTTAAACTGTATGTGATGCCTTATATTCCCACGGTAGGGTAGCATAGAAACTGGTTATTTATTTGGGTTAATTTTTTTTTCCATTTTCGTTGTTGACCTAATTTGCTTAATCATTTCCCCTGGAAACATACAAGAGACTAGACTACCAGATCAATTATAGTGTCAAAGTGAAGCCTCTCAAGTCTCTTCGTTCACCGTGAAGCTTGTGCAAGACGTTAAAATTTTGGGTAAACAACAAAAAAGCCCCCTGTGGTTAAGCAATCATACATAAAAGCCCCCTGTGGTTTCATATCATACCAGTCGATACCCCGTGGTTTGAATTAACCTGAAAAGTGGATGGAAATCGTCAAATTTTCGGTGTGTGTCTTAAACGAACTGCAAAGGCGCGTGCATATGCGAAAAACAGATTTCCACCACAAACTTTCACCTGATAAGCCTACTTTACCCTTCACTCTTTAATAATAAGAGACCAGCTTCCAAGTCTTCCGAGTCTTCATGTTCGGCCAAAATTGAAGATTGAAGGCAGCATTCAAAGCCTGTGCAAGTAATCAATCAAGCAGAGCTTGCAGGCTAGCAAAGGAATTGCAGGAAACAAAGCCTTAATGTAAAAATGTGAACTGTATCTGTATATATTCGGTCTGCAAATTCTGAAGGAAAAGTGCAGAAAGTACCCCAAGATGTCTTCCTCAAGCTCTCGACCAACAAGCGGGGGAAATGGAGGCAGAGGTCTTCGATACCAGTCTTGGCTATATAAACTGACCAGTCTTGGCAGAGGTCTTTCCCAAGTGGTCATTGGAGGCAGTCATATATATATGGCCACAGTTGCATGTAAACTCTAGTTCAATTCAAAGCATTGCCTTTTATAATTGCAAAATAAAAAAGATGTTAAAATTGAAAGCAAATATTCCTGGCAATATAAATCGTTTAATGCAAAGTTGATAATTCAACAAATAGCTGACGTTTATTTAATAGATTCTAACATCTTATTCAATATACAAGTTCATTTGCCCTTCTGGCCACCACGTAAACCCGAGAAATATCCTCGAGGATTTGCCTCAAATCCGGCTCTTGAAATGTATGAGCCACCACCACCAGGCATTTTCATATATCCACTGCCAGCACCAACACTGCCGTTGCCTTTAGACGAACCACTGCCACCGGAGCTTCCTTTCCCTCCTCCGTTGCCTCCACTGCCTTTGGCTCCTCCTCCAGAACTCCCACCTTGACCCATTTTGAAGTTGCTCTTTAGCTAACAAGTTTGAAACAATTCATATGCCAGTATAGCACTAAGCTGCTCGTGGGTGGATCATTATGCCAAGACTGGTCAGTTTATATAGGCAGAGGCTCTCGACCAACACTCCCATTTTTTCTTTGATTTTTTACTGCAAATCTTAACTTCCTTGTATTCTCTGTCGATCTTGATATTTGATTGAAATAACAATAAAAAATTTTGTTGAAAATTGGCTAGAAAAGGGGCTGCTCTATCTCTCTTTAGGGTTTTCTATTTCTTTCTCTCTCTCTTCGTTGGTTTCGATAGAATGAAAGTGCAAAATTACTTCTGCAATTTTTGCTTATATCAAAAGGGTATTTTCGTCTATTCACTCAGCTCCGTCTGTTTTGACGATTTCCGTCCACTTTTCAGGTTAATTCAAACCATGGGGTATTGACTGGTATGATATGAAACTACAGGGGGCTTTTATGTATGATTGCTTAACCACAGGGGACTTTTTTGTTGTTTACCCTAAAATTTTCGAGGTATCAAGTCGAATGATTGCAAGTTTAGGGACCATTCTACAACTAGATAAGAGATTTCTAGGAAGGGTTTGACAACTTGAAATGCATATAACTGTGATTTGAGTTAGCCTAATTCCTCAACAACATCTTATTTCACTTCTTGGGGCAATTCCTCAACAATTACCTAGAAGGTCCTCATACAATTGTCAATCCAAAGTTCGAAAACATCATATTTCATAACTTTCACTACATGATTTCAGCTTGAGAACTCATGCCAGTGTCCAAAAGCTCCATCAATGTCTTCTTCTTTCTTTTTTTTTTGCCCCGGATGAACTCTTTACCTTTTCAAATTAAAGTGTATTAGATTGTTGAGTTTTATTTTCTTTTTGTTTCCTTGATTTTTTCTTAACTTGGGCCAAACCTGAAATAAAAGGACTGTATTAGAATCCGCCCTATCAAAATTGAAAAGTAGAATATCCTTAATTCTTTGTAACAGCAATAATCCCAGAAAAAAAAAGTGATAGCAATAGCTTTTCATCATTTGTGATGTCCTTTGCTCATAACTCGTAAAGGGTAAACTTCCACAAAGTTTCGATGCGCTTTTGAGTACTTTTCCAATGTTCTACATGCAATATTCCTTTTGATGTTCCTTAGACGCCATGGAATGCTTAAATCCAGAAAATACGTGGAATTGGTAAATGTTATCATCCACTCTGACCTAGAGCTAGCTGGTTCTCGTATTTTTGGTTGATATTTTTTTTAATAATACCACTAAAACACCACCTGTTTAAAATACAGCGAAGAGGTTAAAGGTGGGATTGAATGTTTAAAAAATAGGGGTTTTGGTTGGTTTCTGCAGTGAAACCATCCCATATTGGCACTGCCCCTTTTCCTTTATAAGACTTAAAACTCACTCTAGAACCTTAGAAAAACTATCCAAGAACAAGTTTTTCTAATACCTATACGGCCTTTTTTTTTTTTTTTGTAGCAATGGTAATCATATAGGAAATCCAATGCAATTTAATACATCATTATTTTTGTCATTTTGGGCACTGATAATAATATTCGAGACTGATGATATATAAATTTTTGGGTGCAAAAGTGTCATAAATTGAAAATATTTGAAGCCTCACCATATTAATTAGTTATTTCAAAATGTATTTAGTAATCTTTGTGTATACTTTTTCATTTTTGAAAAGTAGAAAGTACTATTTCCTAGAAAAGCTTCTAATTTATGAAATTGAAGTACACTATTGTTCCATTTTTAATTTGGATTACTCTTAAATCTAAAGTTACATTTTTTTAATGTTTTTCAGTAGTGAAGGAGTGGTACTTAAGAAGCATTGAAGGGGTTAAGAAATTTGAACTTAGAACTTCTAATTCTTAAAGCAATCTAAAGTTACATATCTTTTCGTCCCTTCAATAACTTTTTTTGGTTTAAATAGTTTTATATTTCACCTCAATGAACTTTTGTTTCATGCTTGGTATTGTTGCAACGAATTGTCAAAGATGTTGCTTCATTTTAGCAGAGCAATTTCTAAGATAATGACATTACTAGTTATCGATGAAAACCAAGAAAAAACAAGCATAACAACCAATGTAGAAATCACCAGTCCCTTGATATATATGTGTGTTTGTGTATCTTTAAGGGAGTATTTTTTTTTTAATTCTCACTACATAAGTTTTTTAGTATTAGTTAAAGTTATCAAATATTACTAATATTTTGGGAATTTTTCCACGCGGTATACCTACTCTACTAATAAACAAATCCACAAACCCACCAACACAAATCTATCTCTTTTTTTAATTATTATTTTTTATTTTTACCAAAGCAACTTCTAATGTTGCAAAGCCAGAAAAGTTTGACCGAGATGTTTGACTGTAGTTCCATTCAAGATTCAAAGCCAAGTTCATGGCTGAAGTTTTTTTTTTTTTTAAGAAATTCTTTTTATTTATTCATGGAGAATATAACCAAATATTCCTCTTACATAATCCTCATTTTTCTAATTGAAGGTATCCCTATTCTTATATAACCAAAGTTCATGGCTGAAGTTATCATAACTTATTCTCTTTTTTTTTTTTTTTAACTGTGAAGTACCTGTCATAACTTATCCTTTTATTATCATTGTATAAATTTATAGTATACTTTTATAAGCATCTTACATTATAGTAGTTTTTAAATGGAAATTTTCAGTAAAAATAAAAGAAAGAAGTAAATAAAAGAACATATCTGACATGAAAAATATTCTGAATTGAGATCTTGCATAGAAAGTTCCTAAAAATACATAAAAAAGAAAACCCAAAAAACTGTAGAAAATTGTTCTTACAAATTTCTTAGTTCTGCATATATTCTTGACATTTCCCTCTTCAACATTCAACATATTTTATTTGCGGATAAGTATTTTCCTTGAAAATAAAGCAAATCCTCTTCACGATTTCTGAGTAATAAATCTCCAAATTAACAACAAATCCAAATATTGTACTCCATGAATGGACCACTTTGACTAGTTCCCTAGTTTACAACCCCTAATGAATGTGTGACACAAGTTATCAGAATGTTTCCTGTCAACATTAATTTCTTGACTTGTTAATTCTTAAACTTTAGGAGGATTAATTATTTGGTTTTGGAGGTTCTAGAATTATGTTTGTAATAATTTACACCATAACTTTGTATTATTTAAGTTGCTAAGGTTTACTTTTACCAGTTTGACTGCAACAAGGCAGAACAGAAAAAGTTACATACTTTTCCAGCTATGTGGTCTTATAGATGAAACGTCTGGTAATATTCAAGTCAGTCTTCTATATATGTCAGTTCATTTGTTGAATATTAGTTCCGTGTTAAAAAATTAACGTTCAAGATGCTATTCCCATGATGATTTAGAAACCAAGAAAGAAATTATTTGGATGGTGGGATAAGATTTGAATTTCTTCTTGGTTTTATTTCATGACCATCAACCCACATATAGGCAATATCGAGGACGTTTGATCTTTCATTCCTAGCAGTTTCTTTATTAAAAACAAA